GACGGAAAACGATGCGGAAAAAATCTTCCAACATGAACGACGTTTTCCGGCCAGGGCGACCCCCGCGCCCAAGCAAGGTCATTTGGAGCTGGCAATAACGATGATGATCGAGTAAGGAGCAAGGAAAGATGTATTTCGGACAGGAAATTGCACATATTTCAAGCGGCAAACTCCGGAATCGGTGGAGTTTGCGTAGTAAGCTTACCTTAATTTATGTACTCGTGACCATGTGATTCGTGATGTCAAATCATTTCATTGACGAAACACTAAGCTTAATACGCTTTTACGAGAAAACGGTGGATGAAACAACTCAGGCGACGAAATCCCCAGCTCATCAATTTGATAGCATTCTATTTTTCACCATTTTCAATCGTGACTTTGTAAGTATGCTAGTAAGCTTATTTTAGTGATTTTGACAATATTAGGTTAAGACTTAAAAAGCTTACTGTTTTTGTAGAACATGCTGAAACATAAGAAAATCTTCATCAAAATGGAAACTCTTTTAGTTCTGGTGAGTTGAGTGTTTTTTTTTTCATTAAGTTTCGCTTATGATCTCTTCATCAGTTTAAATTTCTCAGCCATCGTAGTCTTATATGCCTGTTGCACCACATTAGAGAGTTTTTAGACGACGTAAGCAAATTTCTATAGTTTATGAAGTGATTGAGCAACAACAAAAATGAGTGTGTACCGAATTGCGAATGTTATTATATCCAGAATTCATAGAATTTGTAAAGCTGCAATGGCTATAGTTGCTTGGATGCTTTTCCTGTTTTAGAGTATAAAAATATCATTTTATGTTGTACAATTTTCGTTGAGAACAACGCTTTTATCCTGCAAAGTGCTGACTGGAGAAATTTGTTTTGTTTAAGCAAAATTATTAGTTAAGCAGAGTAATGAGGTGGTTAGTGTTATTTGATCTTGCATCAATATAGGAATGGCTCATTTTTGGAGTCACAATAACTTCCCTCTGTATGTGGGTATTTTCCCTACACTTCAGGTCATTCCCCTAGATCAGCAGTTTATACCAGCAGAGCCAGCAAGCAAAAATTGCTTGACATGGCTGCAGACAGAACTGTTTTATAATCAGTATTATTTCTGTATCATTTCAGGTCTTTTTCTACCTGCCATCATCATTTAATAAACCTCTAAAACCATCTGTATGTAGGGATGATCAAGTTACCTATAGAAAAAATGGAAGTACAAGAATACATTGTTGGACTTTAATAAAAATGTGCCCTGTTGGGATGGGTTTGAAATTTAAGTTTGTACCTGGMAAAGTGTATCAATGGGGAACATTTAACACTGGTTGTGAGTCGTGCAAGACAGGAATAACATTTTCAGACATAGAAGACTATAGCMAGTGTRAAAACTGTACACAGTGCARGGACAATGAAAKATCARTAGGGCAGTGTTACTATGACAAGGATGAAATCCAGTGCACAGGGCAATGTAAAGAAGGATTTTATTGGTCAAATGCATCCTGTATCGCATGCAGTCAGTGCTGTAGAGATATTGGCAATTGTGCTAGTAGCTGTCCTGATTTGTCCAGTAAGAACTGTACCTTGACAGCAAATGAGACTCACAGCACTAGTAATGCTAATGGTACTCACGGCAGTAATGCTAATGGTACTCAAAGCAATAATATTACTAACAGTACTGTGACCAATAGCACTAGTCCTTCTAATGGCAAAATCCCAAGTGATCATGGAGACAATGGCAGTCCAAAGGATGATGCAAATACTAAAGGATCAGTAACGCCTGGGCAACTTGTACTTGCGATTTTGTGCTCTCTGTTTCTACTTTGTGCATTACTTATTTTTGCTTGTTTGACATGTAAAGCACGCAGAACACAACCAGGAAATAGACCAAATCGCTTTGTCATTCATTATGGTAAGTTTATGTATGACTATTTCCATTTTTTACTGAATTAATTATTAAGTGTTTTGATATTCTAATAATTTGTTGTTATATTTGTTTTGTTATTATAGATAACATAGATGCCCAGCCTGTATTTAAGAAATTAGATGTGTCATCTGTTGAAAGTACTGAAGTAGATTGCCCTAGCAGTACTACATTGGTTGCTTCATCTGCTGATCATGCTGTAAATTGCCTACTACAAGGTATGGCTTTACCCTTAGTTTCAGATTGATGTAAATAATAGCTGCAGATGAGTGAACAAACACTCCAGTGAAGTTCATGTTACTGTAGGCCTGCTTTCCTTCCASCACAAGATTTGATAACAATAATATTTTTATTCAGGGAGCCTACTCGCCGAGGCGGTTTTCAGTAGGGCCCTTTGACAAGTCAAGCTAAAATTTTGTCCAGTCATTACATGTTGAGCAGCTGTTTCTTTTTTCCCTTCAGTTCTTCTTTGTTTGTTAAGAGGTTTAGCCTCCATTATCTTCAATAAACTGTACTGTACTGCAGTGTACACAAGATTTTATCATTATCTCTCGCATGTCCAAAATCTTGTACACATTGTCAAATGTACAATGCTCCCTTTARCAGGAGTGCCTGACATCAACACCAGGACTTTCCATTCTGTAAGTAATTTTCTCCATTTTTAATGACAGGAAATGAAGTCCCAATAAAATTGGATGAAAGTTGTAATGAAGAAAATGGAACTGCAAGTCAAAGACAGGTCAATAATCAAGTTGTGTTGGTGGCTGATTCCCTAAAAGTTAAAGACATGCCCCTCATGGAAAGGCTTGAGATATGTCGTAAATTCGATGAAACAAACAAATTCTTCACAGACTATCGTTCATTGGGTACAGGACTTGGCATGACRAATATGGAGGTTAATCAAYTAGGCAATGAATCCTCTCCAACATCTTGTATTCTGCAAAAATACAAGGAAACAGATTTAGAGGTTTTCCGTCAAGAAGTTAAAGAAATTGAGGACTTACGGGCTGGTTTAGCTGATAGTATACTAACTGATACATGACCTAAGAATAAGCACACTCATGAATGGTACACTCACAATTTATCATAATTAGAAGCATAAGCAAAAAATTTTTGTAACAAAATGGAAACAATTTATACTGCTCTTATGATGGCAGCTTACTGGTATGTGTTTTTTTTTTTTTTGCCATATCAATGAAAAGAAGCTCATGTAAAGCAAAGGCCCACGTGCATCCATGAACCTGTGCAATCATTTCTTTGGTTTACAAAATGATCTCTTGTTGAAGTGTGTTTTGGACAAAGATTCTTTGGTGCACATGGACTTTAATAGTGCAGTGAGTTTTGGACAAACCTAGATGGTCATGTTGTGAAGGTGTTGTGTAGTAGGTTGATGATCTTGTGTTCTGTGAGTGTATTGATTTTGTGTTTAAGGTACTTGGTTTGTTGTGTTTGTGTTTTGTATTTTTTTTGTGAATTGTTGTGTTTGTATGTTAAGTTTTATAAAAGATGGCTTGTATATAGTCTTCCTTGCAGTCGTTCTTGTGTGATCACCGAAAGCTGAGATATAATTTTTGTYAGTRCAGCTGTTGTCCAATAGGCAAATATTTTTTATATAATTGTTTGCTTCATTGAAAAATTTATTGCATCAAAATATTTGAATGCAAATGGCATTTCTGCTAGAGGTGGTTTATAATATTTATTGAAAGTGAAGTTTTCATAAAATGCATACATAAAATCCAGTGTTTTTAGTGGAGATGCTGGCATCTTACAATAGCCAATACATACACTGGTGTGAAAATAGCTGTTTTATACCATTTAGAACCTATTAAAGCCTTTTCTTTAGGAAAGTTCTTAATAGATGTAAGTAATAKAAGTAGTGTTAATGGATGGCTGGACCTTTCATCATATTTATATCACACATCTATAATATTTAAATAGTCTATATGAATTTTCTAACTTATACATAGTTTATAATTTTTTATTAATTTTTTTTGTTCTGTCAATGTTGTAGTAGTGTAATAAAGTGCAGAATTTTAGAATCATACTTAGAAATTTTAATATATTAATAAAAATCACTTCATTTTTGTTATCTGCTTATTTTGTATTCACCATGATCATGTGTGGCAAAAACAGGCAACACCACATTGAAAAGCATTGAAAGGGATGGGAAATCATTATTAAGCTGAACATTAACAGGCTGTTGACATTAATGAATCCCCCTCCACAAAACCATTGGCAAGAACTAGAATCCTAAAGCAATTTTAACATATATTAAGGTGGCTTCCTTCAGTTGTTTTTTGACCATACCTCTCATTTTAAATTCGCTTTTTGAAAATCTTGCTTTGCACCTATTTGTTACGTGTTTGGACCAGTATTAAAGCATTGACCAAAATTTTGTTTGGCATGATATTTAGCTCTTTCAACGTTACCTAGGCAACGCAATTTGCATTTTTTCGAAATTCGTTTTTGCCAAATATCTCAAAAAATTGATGAGATCCAGAAAAGCAATAGAAATCATCATTAACTTCAAACTATTGCATAACGTTTTTGAATAGTTAAAAACAAATTCGTCTGTTCGATTTCGAGTAATATGCAAAAATCACATCCATGAAATATTTGTCAATAAACTTTGGTCAATGCTTTTGGTGTTCCAAACATGAAACAAATCGGTGCATAGCAAGATTTTCAAAAAGCAAGATAAAATGAGATGTATGGTCGAAAAACAACTGTAGGAAGCCACCTTAAAACCGATATTTCAACTAAAGGGACATGGTCCACTAGCATTTAATGCGATTTTTCATATATGGAAAATCTCAGGTGACTTCGAATTATATCCATTAGCAATCCGTTTCCATCCATCAGTTTAACGGTCGAATCTTAAAGCATCTCCATTCATATAGGATAAAGGAAYAATAAAGAGTAMGTTTTTGCTTATATTACGATGTATTTCTATTTTCAAACATAAACAAAAGCTTGAAAGGGATGCTGGTGGACCACGTCCCTTTATCTTACTGGCATCACAGAGTTAATCCGTTTTTTGTGTCGGGCTTCCTGTTCCTTCCCAACCTTCTTTGCGTTCTATTGATTCGCTTATTTTTTACGGTTTCTGTATTATTAATTTTCTTCGTTACAACCAGTAGTATGTGTTCCTCTAATTTTTTCCAATATCAAACATTTTCCCATATAGGATTGCAATGTTTAAAGCCATTTTTTCATGGTTTGTGGACGGGTAATAAGCTTGTAAACTTCAACAGTTAAAGCTAAGTACAAAACCTCTCTGATGATGAAAAGGGAAAGATGTTAAACTTGCTTACTTTACAAAATTAATAAGCTAAATAAAGGTAAACTTAAGCTTACAGGTAATTTAAAATATTTTTAAAATGTTGATATTTTCAATTTTCCTGAAGTTTATTGTCATGTAAGCTTAGATACGTGACATATTTTTCAAGTTGCATAATGACTGGAATTTGCCTGATCATCACATTTTCATCGACCCCACTTTCGCTATCGGCTTTTGAAAGGGTGCGTGGTATTCTTTTATTTTTACTCAGTTATCTTTAAGTGTTAACTTTGACTTATTTATTTTCATTTTCTTATGACAGAACCAATTTATAGATCCCTGAAACAGATGAAAGATAAAATATGGGAATTAGGCTTATGATTCCATTGGTGAGTCTTCATTAATACCGGTTGAAAGTTTTATAAGCTTAATATTTATATATGTACTGTAATAGCATAATATTTACTAAGTAACTATGATATGTAGATAATTACAGCTATGTCATAATCTAACTTCACATGAAACTCTGCATGAAGTCACACTCCGTCCTTTTAGATAGTAAGTTACATGTAAGTCCAATTACTAGTAACTTAACTTTTTATATGAATGAGTCTGCACTTGGTTTTCAATAAGGCGTCTTCAGACATGGCCTTTAATTGCTTTGAAACCCTTATAAGTTTAGATGAGTATAACACTGATGAAAGGCTTTTAGAACCAAAGCCATCAAGTCATCTGTACCTTTTATCACTGGGTAATAAGGTCATCTGATGTCTTAGTTCTAGTTCATTTCAAAATGGCCAACTATTAAAACAAAACTTGCCTAGTATTGCAGATTATGGTCAATATATTTTCTGAATTCAATAACCTGAGGTATTAAAAATTCAATATATGTTGTCAGCTAACCTGTGTTGTTGTTTCAGGTAGTTTTACTTATAAATCTGGAAATGTCATTTGGAAAACCTCAAAGTAGTATCTCTTGTTCTTACGACGAAGCTGCCATCCGGACTGAGCAAGGAAAAGTCATATGTTGGAAGGTGCCAAATTGTCCTCATGGTTTTGGTCTCAGTTTTGAGCATAAACCTGGTTACGTACATCCCTCATCAATTAAGGTTAAATGTCAACCTTGCAAATCTGGTTTAACATATTCAAACAAGCATGACTTTASCCAGTGCAAAAATTGTAYGCAATGCAAAGATAATGAAATATCCACTGGGAARTGTTATTTTGAYAAGGATGAAATCCACTGCACAGGGCAATGTAAAGAAAGCTTTTATATGTCAAATGAAACAGCCTCCTGTAAACCATGCAGTCAGTGCTGTAKAGATAGTGGTTGTGCTAATAGCTGTCGTCCTGAGATGACCAGTAAGAACTGCACCAAGACATCRAATGKTACTGAAATTCCAGGCAGCAAAATTTCAGTAGAGGATATGGACAGACCCATTAAAGTACACAAGGTTAAAGATAGGACAAAAGATGTTGTGAAAATTGTTGTACCAGTAGTTTGTTTTGCAGTTGTACTATCGATATCCATAATAGCGGTCATAGTTTACAGGAAAAAAATCTGTGGTGAGTAATCATTAGAAATACAAGAGTAGATGATATGGCATCATTGATTATTGTATGATATAATTTATGCTTATTATGTTCAGGTTATAGTATAATATTGTAGATTAATTATAAAATCTCCTACAACATTGTCTACACTTGATATCTGCTATATTCAATAGTGTCTCTACTATTTAATATAATAACATTTTCTCTTCAAATGTTTTCCTGATTGTTATATTTTTATTCCAATATCCAATAGAAAGCATTTTACTAAAAAATAATATAATGTTCTTATGATGTCTGTTCTGTCTGATGTCTGAATGGTGCTTTATCATTAAAATACTGACAAACACTCCTTCTCAACCAGAAAGAATTGGTARTCTTGTGGCCWGTGCTGTAAATTCTACAGGAAACAATTCAGACAGTACYATAGAACCACGTTCTCTTCAGGGAAATGTTTACAGGCAGCAATTACATTCACCAWTATCATCACCACCTCCACTGTCACCACAGCCAGAACAACATTCACAGAGTGACACCTTGGCTCCAGGTCAGTCATCCATACCAGATTCTACAGAACAGCTGGTGACAGACTCTGGTCTACCAGGAAGAATCCCTGGACAGCAAGCTTGCTCACCWCAAAGGGTACWTRCAGATTCTGGCCAGCCAGCATATAATACTGTTCAAACTCATCGCCAGATTAACCCACAAAATGTTGATAATGCAGGTTTGTAGCACAATACTTTTACAACCATGAATATCTTTTCTTCAATATTGATGATACACAAGATCAAAGTTTTTTATATTATATACTTTTTGTATTTTAAAATATTCAATAACTTTTAAATTGTTCGACAACATAGAGCATTGTTTAATTGTTGATGTACAAATTTGTCAGGGAGGGGGTGTCCCAGTTGTGTAAATTTGTAAGGGGTCTCAGTTGGCCATAAATGAAGCTGCATACATTTGCCTCTMGATGTACAACCCCTAGATCCACTTCTGGTAGCATTTTCTAACTTGATTTTATTTTTTATTGTCAAGCAGAAGAGAATTTTAATAAGCTTCTGGTCAGCATTTCACCTCGTGTCAGTATGGACTGGAAGCCACTTGGAGGGCTRCTTGGTGTTGAACCGCACGAGTTATCAAACATMGATGACGAGTACCGTAGAACGCAAGATAAAGCATACCAAATGCTCACRAGGTGGAGGCAGAAGAAAGGAAGAGGAGCAACACCACAAGTGCTTTTGGCTGCTCTTCGGGAGATGGAGTTAAATGGTTTAGGTGATATTGTGCAAGGTAGTKTTTCRCTCTCTTTTCATCTTATGCAATATTGAAGAGGAGGATGAAAACCTGAACAATCTCTTAGTCCTAACGATTTAGGGATTTTAGATGTGAAGGATAACATCTTTGCCTTTCTCCATAGTACCACCATTTTTGAAAGTAGTGAATGCAGTGCTTGCATTTTCACTCTCGAATTGATCTTTTGTTTATGATTTCTTTTTCTCAGAGTTTATTGTCACTGGTCAGTACACCATTAGTGAGTAACCAATGGAGGAAATTGAAAGATTTGTTCAACCGCACAAGGAACATGAAGAGATGTGATATGAACAGTATTGCATGACTTTTTTGTCTTCCTTGTAGCCCCTCCTTTGCCACTCAGGATGGGGGCAGTTTTTTGTTCCTGGCTCTTCCAGCAAATGGAAAGATTTGTATCTCACTATCTTATCCCAACAAAAA